GGCCTGTGCCCTGGGCTGGACTAGTTCCTTAGCACTGAAATCCCTGTGTGCCAGCCAGTGCCTCTGCCCCAAAGAATCATGGGATGTGGTCCAAGAATATGGGAACAGTTCCCACCCCAGGCTTGGGGGCCACTGTTTTCTCATGTGTGTCTCTTTGCTGTACTTTGTATTTTGCGACATGACCATCCTAGTAACCCAGTCCTGTCTAAGTTGTATTCGAGTTGTTTTATGCTCCCTTTCCTGAGACTTTTTGTACATATTGTTTTCCTGAGTAATGGTATCTCTAATCTGACTTCTAAGAGCTCCTGAAAGGTACCTGTTTTCAATAAACTGTGTGTTTGTTATTAATGTGCACCTGCCTGTCATTTCCAAGCTGTGCTCCCCGGACTGGAGGCAGTTTGGAGCTGCAGCTCTCAGGTGGGGCCTTTGAACAGCTACTTACTCAGGCGGTGAAAACCTTTACTCCAGGCAGAATCTCGGGTACCTGAAGAGGAGCCCTCACCCCCAGATCCAGGACATGGGGAACCTACCCCAAGATGTTTTTCTCCAACATGTTCACTCCATGAGCTAGAAATGTACACTGGGGAGGATAAAGTCTATCGCTTGTTTGCCTATGTAGTCTCGTCGTCCAGGACAAAGAAGGGTGTGCATAGGTAATCAGTTCAGTGGGCTCCTCACTTCCCAGAGTTTTTTACATTGAAAATGATCAGCATGGAACTTAATCTGGGTCATTGCTGAGCTCAGTCATCTGACATGGATAGTTTATGGTGAAGGACCTTGTCAGTGACAGCGTATGGAATAATGGTTACTTCTTCCAAGTAATCCTGTCCCCAGAGATTCCTACCTTTCCCATCATTCTCTGGTACAGTGTTAGGAAGAGCTCGACATCGAGGAAACACAGGATCCAACATGCTTGACCCAGAGCCAGGCTCACCCAATTTCACTTCATGTGCACCACTGCCCAAATGAACCCAATTGTGGCAAGTGTGTAGTATGTAGCAGGTGCCTAATAAATGCATCACATGATGCAATCTGAGCAGTCCATCCCACATAAAGGGCTGACTTGGAACGTAATGCGTTCTTCATCCCAGGATTTAAAGCATGGCCTGAATTATCAAAGGGCTGGAATGTTGCAAAGAAAATTTAAATCTTACTTAGCGGGCCTGACCGATGTGGCCAGTGGATGAGTGTCAATCTATGAATCAGGAGGTCACGGTTCAGTTTCCAGTTGGTTGGGGCACATGCCCAGGTTGCAGACTTGATCCCCCACGGTTCGGTTTCCAGTTGGTAGGGGAACATGCCCAGGTTGCGGACTTGATCCCAGTGAAGGGCATGCAGGAGGCAGCCAATCAGTGATTCTCTTTCATCATTGATATTTCTACCTCTCCCTCCTTCTCTGAAATTAAATATATATATATATTTAATTTTTTTATATATCTGAGCCAAAGAGCAAAAACAGCCCATAGACACGTTCACTGTTTTTTTAAATTATAACAATTTAAAAATTGCCAAAGTTCACAAAAATGATTGCTAGCTCCAAAAAATAAGATCTGGCAACACGGGCCACAGTCGACCGGAGTCCTCGCAGTTTGGTAGCAGCTTTCTCTGGCCCTTAGAGAGCCCTCTTCCCACTGAAAGCTTTCCCACTCTGACTTCCCGTTGTTACTACCTTGTACCTCTGGGCATTGACTTTGTGCCCTAAGCAGAGCTGCTTTGGGTTGAAGGGAAGATGGGGCCAGGAGTCCCCTTTACTGGGGCCCCTGAGGCCGTTTCATAGAACTCTAGAATTTCAATCAAGTTTCATTCTTTGCCCTGCAAGCACCCTGATCTTCCCAAAGCCCTCCTTGGGGCTTCCGATTGAAAGAATTCCAAACGTAGTACCTCACGAATAGTTAGGTTAAATTATTCATAGAGCGAGCTTGAGGTGTGTGATAGGACATCACCTAAGCATCGTTTATTCACAGCATCAGACATAGCTTTTAGCTCCAAGGATCTACTATCCCCAGCTCTGCCAAAGAGAACGGCTTCACATGCCAACAGAGAGCTTATCACACTGTGTCCTACACCCCTGAAAAGCAAAGCACTGGTATGTCTCAATGTCCACATGTGCACAAGCCCTGATCAATGTTTCCTCCTCTAATGTTACACGAGTTGTTGGCCCATACCTAAAGTTCAGCGTGACACACACATGCTGAAGATTAATAGCAGACAATTCAGAAATGGAAGGAGAGACGACGAGAGATCAATCAGAACTGGGGCTACATTGAGCTCCCACTTAATGGGAGTCTGGAATCCAGTTTGCTCTGGCTAAGGTGCCTTCTCGTTGCCCTTCACAGGATTAGCCATTTTCCCAGTCCCCTTTAGAGTCCCCTGCCTCACCCGACCTGTAGAACAAGCCCCCTCTCCACCACTCCCTCCCCACCAGCTGTAACCCACACTTCTTGCCTCCTACACTTCACTACCGTCTTTCCGTAGTTGGTATTAGCATCCATGCATTGGTGTTTTCTGATCCTCATGATGGATATGATGGAAGACATAACAAACCCTTGGCAATGAGACACCAGGAAGAGACCAGCATCCCATCAGCAAAGTGGCAGTGCCCACAGCACTGCATCCATGCATTGGTGTTTTCTGATCCTCAGATGATGGATATGATGGAAGACATAAACCCTTGGCACCAAGACACCAGGAAGAGTCCAGCATCCCATCAGCAAAGTGGCAGTGCCCACAGCACATGCTCCGTCACATTATGCTAAGAGCCCTGGGGATGGCCACGATGACAGTCTCCAAGGAGACACCCCTTCAAATGTGATGCAGAGACCGTGCTGGCAAACCTACTGGGGCCCTGATCACAGTGTCTTGTCTTCTCCTAAGAGTGTCCCCCACTAGACAGGGGTCTTTCATGAAAGGGACAATCTAATTTGTTTCTATGCAGAGAGATTTCAGACACACACTGTGGAGAACCCCCAAGGGTGGGGCGG